TCTCAATTGATCCTACCATGACCTTTATAATGATGAGTAGTGTTGTAGATGACTTGTAGTATTGTATGGTATCGTGATGTTCGTCTGCAACATAACAGTACATCTTTGTAGTGTGGCAAAAACTAATTCAGTTTGAACTTCAGCTGGGGCCTTGGATTTGTTCCTGTCTGTAACTTGTACCTGACCTTGGCAATGTGAAAAGACTCACCTGACAATTTCTTATTTATTTAAAATGAGTGTGTCTTTGTCTTAAAACGTACTGTTCTTAGAGTAGAACATAAAAGAAAAAAACACAGCACGCTTCAGGCTGAAATCTGTCAATTCTGGACTTGTGGCATTAAAATATTTACAGTGTTTTTACCTAGGAGTGCATATTTCTCTTCAAGTTTGAATGCATTTCTCATCAGAGCTGGTCTCCACTGACTCATACTGAGTCTTACATTCAGCCTCATTGATTTTATAGCAAACACAAAGTCCACTCCTGTTGGCACAGAGCAGCTCTCTTGTGACAATATGAGAGTATAAAGGTACAGATGAGGAAATAGCTTGAGTATTATATGTATAATATGGATCAGGTCACCTTTTCCACCACTTCTTGTGTTAGATATTATGCTATCCCGATTGTAAAACACTACGGAAAAGATGTTTAAATGGCAAAGTTAATATTGCAATCTTCACTAGAATATTGAAGTACAAAGAGAAAAAGTTTGAGAGGGTGATTATGGGTCATTGCGGAGTCCTCCTCCCACACCGACAGAACAATGACACCAGAAGCTGTTTGGATGAATTACACAGGGAGGAGAAGGAAAACGAGTGTGAAAAGCGAGGAAGCTGTAGATAGCAGATACACAGTAGATCAAGAGAAATAAAGATAGACAGCGACAGCCGAGGAGTGAAGCAGACAAAACGGAACCAAAAGAAAAGAGACGTTACATCCTGCGAGGCATCTCTCTCCCGGAATTTGGCAGATTATTAGAAGCGTGACCCTCAGAGGCTTCAATCCCCAGCTAACGAGGGCAACGTCTGGAAGTGACATTTCCGAGCCGAAGGGAGGAGAGGGGGGGGAAGAGGAAAAGATTAAAGAAATGAAAAAAGTCTTTTCTCGAGATAAGCTCGAGATTTAAACAAAAAAAAGGTCAACACTCCCAGAGTATGAATTAAACACACACACGCACCAGCAAATTACACCACACACACTCCCCCATGGCATACACAAGGGCCCTTACAGTAGCATATAGGTCATTTGCCCCTCCGGCTCATACATTATTGTCAGTTTTTGGGGAAGGGGAAGTTTGTTCTCTAAATATTTGATGGACACCCCTAGCTGTGATGAGATTAACAGATTAATCTTGCCAATAAGGATGTGTTTATCAGTTTGACACTCCCTGTGTGTGTGTGTGTGTGTGTGTGTGTGTGTGTGTGTGTGTGTGTGTGTGTGTCTGTGTGTGAGAGCTCCTGTGAATATGAGTGCCACATGAGCCCAAAAGTTAATTAAAAATGCATCGAACATTAACAAGCAAACATCGGCACACAGCTCAAACTGAGTGAGAAGGTCACACAGGCAAAAGTAAAATAAAGGTGCAAAAAAATGAAATAAAAAATAATGATGAAATGAAATCTAACACAAAGCACAAAAGCTACAAACCAGTAAACACTGATAGCTTCTTTTGATATTATACTAGATTTTTTATCATACGTTAAGGCAAATCTAAGGAACTATCTTTTATTGTACAGATAAAAAAGTTCTGCATCACTAACTAGTTCAGATGAATCGTCTGGTCTTTCACTGTAAGAATATTTTGATTCATGGGAGGTTGTGCACTCTCGATTTGGATTTGGTTGTCATGAATCAGTACAGCAGTAGGAGTACGGGATCAATATAAGAAAAGTCTTGCCTCTGGAACTCACACTTGATCCTGACCGGAGTGATTTTATACTCAACTGAAACTTTTTTGGAAAGAGTCATATAGTCATGAATGAGCTGGTTCTCTACCTGTTGATGATTTCTTATGTATAGTTTGTATTGACTAGGGCTGGGACAAAATATCAATACAGGAAGGAATCGTTGTCCTAACTTGTGTGAAACAATTATTGTATAGTTGGTGCCCAATATTGATAATTCAATACATCAAATAAAAAGGATATGGACTTCCTGTCACCTCTTCATGACTCCTCACAGTGGAGCCTATGACATGATTGAGGGTCATGTGAATGGATGTTAATTTGCCAAAGAAGAAGGTGTTTAGCAGGGCAAGAGAAGAAGAAGAGAAGAAGAAGACAAAGAAGAAGTAGTAGAGGAAAAGAGCGGGACTTTTGTATAAGTCTAGATTTGATATGTTTTAGGAAAAAGCTACTGACTCTATCTTTTAGATTTAGATGTTGAGACTGTGTTACTTAAATGTTTCTACCCAGATTAACATGATAATAGGGAGTTAGTCACATACTGTAAGTGATTTAACATCTTAGAATAAACACAGAGCCGTCACATGTGCAGCTGAAGCTCTGGCATAACTTTAAAAATCTGCTTATTTTAAAGGCACTCTCACTTTGCTGCTTCATGACCTCTCAGAAGAAAGAAAATGATATGATGTGGAATCTTCATGAATCACTGCAATCAATGAATCTGCTCACACGTGAGTGAAGAAAATCTGCTCCAATTGTTTGAGTACGGTTCAACTTAAGTGAACTCTGAAATTCGCACCATTGCAAATTGTTTTGACAGTCCTGACCTTTAAGGAAATTAAGAGCAGGTAAGTCGAGGCATGGAGAAGCTGTCCCTTCTTGTTAGCTCTGCTGAAGCCGACACTTTAACTTAAGAATCGTCAGCGTGATAAAACTGCTGAGTGAGAGTGAGAAAGAGAGATAGAGAGGGAGAGTGAGAGAGAGAGTGTGTATGAGAGAGAGGGAGAGAGAGAGTGAGAGAGAGTGAGTGAGAGAGAGAGTGTGTATGAGAGAGAGGGAGAGAGAGAGTGAGAGAGAGAGTGTGTATGAGAGAGAGGGAGAGAGAGAGTGAGAGACAGAGAGAGAGAGGGAGAGCAAGTGAGAGGGAGAGAGAGAGGGAGAGCGAGTGAGAGGGAGAGAGAGAGGGAGAGCGAGTGAGAGGGAGTGAGTGAGAGAGTGAGAGAGAGGGAGAGCAAGTGAGAGGAGAGAGAGAGAGAGAGTGTGTATGAGAGAGAGGGAGAGAGAGAGTGAGAGTGAGAGAGAGAGGGAGAGCAAGTGAGAGGGAGAGAGAGAGGGAGAGCGAGTGAGAGGGAGTGAGTGAGAGAGTGAGAGTGAGAGAGAGTGTGTGAGAAAGAGGGAGAGAGAGTGAGAGTGAGTGAGAGAGAGAGAGAGAGTGAGAGTGAGAGTGAGATTGACAGTGAGAGAGAGTGAGAGAGTGTGTGAGAGAGCGAGAGGGAGGGAGTGAGAGAGTGAGTGAGAGAGAGGGTGAGTGAGAGAGAGAGGGAGTGAGAGAGTGAGAGCGAGAGAGAGTGTGTGTGTGTGTGTGGTGTGTGTGTGTGTGTGGTGTGTGTGTGTGTGTGTGTGTGTGTGTGTGTGTGTGTGTGCAATCCTTTATGTGGTGGGTTGATATTGGGTGGATATGTTTCTCTAAGTTTCTATTAAGTCTTTTTTAAATGTCATTTCGGTGTGTGATTGTTACGTCATGTGTTTGATGTTAGTTGTGCACATATTTCATTGTCTGATTCCTGAACCAGTAATTCATGATTGTGAACAGTTGTTCATTCTTGTATTTCTTTGTTTTTACCCCCAAAGCGAGGCACATTGAGCTTACCTGTAATAAAACGTGCTTCATAAATAAAATAGCTTTTGCTATTTATGATACTTCTCTTTGTTTTTTCAATGTATTTTTTGTTGGTCAAATATAAATGTTTCATTGAAATTGGAGGAATTCAATGTCACATTATCTAGTAAATGTAAATTCTGACAACGGCAACCACTCTTCATCAAAAGTCTGTTGATATCTGCCTTTAGGTCTGAATGAATATTTATTCAAAAGAACACTGAACTGAGAAGAATGTGCTCAGAGTTATTCACACATACACAGTCAGATTCTCTTTGGTCTTTGGCACCGGATTAGCTACATTACAGCAGCACACAGTTATTAGTGCTATGTCCAGAAGAAGATGAGAGACTGGAGGAGGTAAACTATTCTTCACTTTTTAATACAGATTAACCTGCCTGTTACATTATTGTACTGCTTATCAAAAATCATGTTTTCTGTCTAAACTCAAAGAAGAAGTGGAACAGCACACTCCACAAACCGGGCTGAGGTGGTCATTCTGACAATAGTGACCAGCGGCCACACTTCGTTGCAGCCTGGAGATTAGAGAGCCAGCGCAGATTTGCTGAGGAGAAATGTAAAGCTGAGCTGAACAATGAAAACTACTGGGCCAAGATTGTTTAAGGGGATAAGCTGTTCACAAAAATCTGGCTCAATGTAGAACATTTTGTGTGTGTGTGTGTGTGTGTGTGTGTGTGTGTGTGTGTGTGTGTTGTGTGTGTGTGTGTGTGTGTGTTGTGTGTGTGTGTGTGTGTGTGTGTGTGTGTCAGATAAGCCTCTGTGCTAAGTGTGTGAGTATTTGGGGTATGTCTGTATGTGTATGTTTGTGTGTTCATATAAAAAGAAAGTTATGTGATGAGAGTGCTGTAGTGAAAATGCTAAAGCCAGAAAGACCACACAGTCCTATTTAGAAGCTTTTGGAGCAACACAGCATGAATTCAGAGGGAGCTTAAAGACTCGCAGAGGAATGGATCTCACACACACGCCCGCACACACAGATAAAGTGAGGGCCACAACATTTTGAGTCAACTCATGCCCAGTAACAACCTCTTTCTCAAACCATAATGATTGCATTCACACACTGAATCCCAGTGTTTCTGGTTTCTACATTTTGTGTTGGTCCATGAACAGTCCAAAACAACAAAGTATGTGCCATTGCTAGATATTAAAGGGATAGTGTGTAACATTACAGAATTAAAACATGATCTTTTATTCTCACCGAAGTCGACGAAGGAGGACTGTCCAACAATCTTCTGCGGAGGTTCTTCTGGAAAGATTTCGGTTTTGACAAAGCTTCCATCCTGAGAGATCAACCATCAGATATACAGAGAGAGAGAGAGAGAGAAGAAAGAGAGACATGATGCAGGTTTTCAAAGTCATAAAAACATCTGCATCAACAGTTATCAACCAGGTACATGTTTTATACAGAACCAAGGTTCCTGCGGCCTGTAATGGATACAGGAGTTACCTAAAACGGCATTTGTGTGTTTGTGTGTGAGCATCAGCTGTACATTCAAGCTTAATATATTTACATTCATGCCCTGCAAATGTACTTTTTGCTGTTGCAGAAGCTGGACTATTGACCCCAATTCATTTCTTTAAAAAAAATAAAAATTATATATATATATATATATATATATATTACTAATTGCATTTGTAACTATTGCAGTGTCTTCCAACTCCACTGAATGCATTTCTTTTAATCTGGTGATTAAATTGTTTAATAGAAAAAAAAAAAAAATTCTGCATATAGCAGAATAATATTACATATAATAATATTAGAGCCTGACCGATTGATCGGCCAGCTGATAATATCCGCTGACATTAGCATATCCAGTGACTATCGGTATCTGCTAATTTCATCACAGATATTGTTAGATTTATTCACGGGTCAAACAGCATTTCATTTGTAATGTTGTATTACACTAGCAGTTCAAATCAAAGACAGATCTAAAAAAGATATCGGCCAATATATCGGTATCTGATTGTTTTCTCTTCGTAAGGTCGATATAGGTATCAGCCCCAAAAATTCGATATTGGTCAGACCCTAAATAATGTAATATTTTTAAAACCTTCTACGCATTTGGCTCGCAAAGTTATATTTATAAAGAGTCATGAAGTTGAATGATCATCAGTGCCATGTATTCATTAAGGCGAACTTAACTCTGCTGCTTATTTTCATTATGCGTTAATTATTGCACAGTTAATTTAAGTATCCATTAACCTGTCCAATATATTCTCACTTATCCTCATAATTGATTCACAAAACAGTGTAAAATGCCAAAATGCCCCTTGCAATTTCCCAGGACATACTTTACTTGGTCTCCAAATTGCTTTGATCGTGCGCCCAACAGTCCATTAAAATTTTGATTATGAGAGTGGATACAAAAAAGCTGTCTACTGGTCGTCTAAACTCTGATTTTTTTCTTAATGTAGCATTTGAAACAGTTCAGAAAAATGTGATGAAGGGAATGTTCATGCATGTTTGTGATGTGATGTGATGCTGTGCAGTGGGAAACTGTTGCCTGCTGATACCAATATTACTGATTTATGAGTAGAGGCTAGAGAGACGATTGAGTCAGAGAGAGCAACATATACATTATGTATAAGCATGTGTGTCTGTCTGTCTGTGTGTCTGTCTGTGTCTGTGTCTGTGTGTGTGTGTGTGTGTGTGTGTGTGTGTGTGTGTGTGTGTGTGTGTTTGAAGGGCTGTATGTGTGGGTAAATACTGACGTTACATTTGTGTGTGAGTCAATAACTGTTTAAACTTACAAACTGATTTAATATATTTTGTTTGATTTACATTTTGCAGAAGGAGTCCTGTTTTCTTCTGCTGTTATTATATATATTTACTGAACTTAAAGTCACCATAGAAACTTCAAGAGTGTCTAACTGCCGTGCTGTAACCATAGACTGTAAATATTATTGGACGAAGATTGAGTGACGTCCGCCATCTGTTACGACATGGGGCTCCGGAGGCTCATCGGCAGCAGCCGCCATGCTGGAAATACTGTCTCAGACTAACTTTCAGTCAACCTAACGACAAGCTGAGAGCTGGAGCTGAGGCGGGTTTTAAGCCTCTTGATGAACCGTTACATCACGCCCACCTGTCAATCATGTCAGCTACACGCCTAACTATGGATAACACGTATTTTTCATGAAATAAAAACAGAAAACATTTCCAAAAAATTCGACCCCCGTACAGTGTGTGCCAGCGATGACAATAACTAATCAGACCTATTTCGTTTTTTTGGGACCAGATTGCAGGATTTTAATTTTTCAAGACAGGAGGTTGCCGCTTGGTTGTGACGTATTTCTGACAGAAACGGGATAGAACCCATAGAACCAATCACAAGATAGAAGGCGGGACATAATATTGGGTTGAATTTGATCGAATTTGATTTGATTTGATTGATACAGCAGCTTCGACGAAGATTTTAAATTGGTCAAAAAATTAGTGATAAATTACATTTAGTTTGATGTAAAAATACTCAGATAATGCTTCATTGAAATATATTTGGCAGATAAATACACATTTAACACAGCAATGCTGGGTTAAAACTGGAAAAATCTATTTTTCATCTCATGGGGACTTAAATAAAAACGACAGAATTAAGATGATTAAAGTAGACACCAAGGCCATAAATTAGTCGACTATATATTTACAGCTACTACATTATTTAAGCATGTCATATATGCAGCATAAAAGGAAGTAACTCAAAATGTGAGTGTAAAAACACTAAATTTAGTATCTCTGCTTTATGATGCAGCACATCTTTTACAGGAAAGAACTCAACTCAAAAATTCAATAATTCAATATCTTACTCCTCCCTACATAACAACATTGGACAGCTACACCGTTCCTGTGACACCAACATTGAAATGCAACACACTCCCACAATATTGATTTTCTGTGTACAGGGAACTCCACAACAACAACATCAATGAAATGTAACGAACATCCAGCAGAGTTAGTCCTGGTTTGAACCAAAACTCTCTCAAAATGAAAAGAAAGACATTTAACCAGCACAGTGAACTCTTCTGGAGATTATAACTCAATAACCTTGTAGGCTTCTGAAAGGTGTTAGTTAAGAATGGATAAATGTCAGTACCTCCAACAGGTTGAGTGTAAAAGTTGTCATGAGTGAGACTCTAATTAAGCTTTATCTGCAGAGCACATTTTGTCTTGCCATAGTAGGAAAAAACAGGTGTTACTAATGTCATTAACAACAGCTCTGTTCCCACTAAGCCATGGCGTTGTGACAGAGTGACAGTGAGCCAGCAGCACAATATAAGGATCCTGAAACCCTCACAGCTTAATGGAACTCAGCCATCATTCATTTGAATATGTACACCTGTGCTACTCTGACATGTTCAAACGTCAGCATGAAAAAAAAAAAGCTTCTTTTGGCAATTTTTAGACATGTAGATGATCATGTTTCCTCAGACTAGAGTCCCTAAAAAAATGGAAGAAAATGTTGTTTAGCCCTCTGGAGCTGTTGTGGGTCTAATTCTTCCAGAAAACTGCCATGCAAGGCGCACCACTTGATCATCTTAATGGCAGTCTCATGCTCAAAGTCTCCCACTCCGCCCTGAGACATTTAGATTAGGAGACTAATGAATAGTGCTGCCAGTGTGATGGTCCAACAGATTAATGATGGTGCGGATTGAAGTTCTCTGTAGATCATTTAGCACTTTAATATTTTAACATCTGAATGGGGCCTCTGCGAAGCTGCTACTCCTTGATTGCGACTCAAAGTACTGGGGCAGTCCTTTCTGAATACTGATAAATGCTAAATGCTCTCATAAATTGGAGTCTCGCTGGTTTACCTGCACCACAAAAATCTAAAATCAGTGTGTATTGTCTGGGAAGAAAGAAAGAAAAAACAAAAAATGGGGCATTATACTAGCACCAAAGCTTCTCTAAGAACTGCATTTCAAATGATTCTAAGTGAACCGAGTCGTTTGTTATTTTCAGGTTTTGCTTACCAAACGTTGCCTAAATAATCCTTGCTATAAAATAAACACTCAAACTCTGAATTAAAAAGTCAATTGGCACCAATGGCCACCAGCTATGAAGACAAGTTATAGAAACAAAATAAAAGAACAAACCTCAAAATCTTTCTTTCCACACAGCTTTCATAAAAGGGCAGCCTACTGCAGACTTGCTCAAACATCTTCAAGATCTTCAACAAAGTCCAGCTGTCTGTCCAGTTGGCCTCAAACTGACCATGGATGACTGAGAGCCTACACAGACATCTCAAAAATGATCTACCAAGACGTTTGACTATGTGTTATATTTCTCTGCATCAAAGCTAGATAAGATCAAATTTGTTTTAGATCATATTATTTCTGACAAAAGCACATGATTTTGAAAAAGAAAAGAGTAAAAAGAAACTGCAGTAGCCTACTGCTTGTTTAAAGAACCTTCAAATTGAAGACTTAAAGACTTTTCAAACACAATGATATGTTATAGTGTTGTATTAACAGTCCCACTGTACGCGAGCACTAGGTATTCATTTAACACCGACTGAAACAGAGAAAGAGTATGCAAATGGACCGACGTGCTGACACAAAACAAAAAGTTGTCTTTGATCATAAAGCCTGATGTTACTCTGTATAACTCTCAGGTTTATCAGTATGTAAAATACACTTCAGACTTTAATCTCTGGAGTCAGACAGAGTAACAACTGCCTCATGTGAATGATTCTTTCCGAGGTTTAATTATGCAATAGGAACCTTTAGCAATAGTGACCAAAAGAATCAGATCGTGGATACAATGAGCTGAAATGAGTTTCCTCCAAAGGGTGGCTTGGCTCAGCCTTGGATATAAGGGAAAGACATCTGAAGAGAGATCAGAGTAGAGTGTGCTTCTCCTTCACACTGAAAAGAGCTAGTGGAGGTGGTACAGGCATCTCATTAGGATGCCTACTGAGCACCTCCCTTTGGAGGGTTTCAGGGCACGTCCAACTGGAGACACCAGGGTAGACCCAGAACTCACAGGAGGGATTTTAAATCCCTTCTGGAACATCTCATAGTCTCGCAGGAGGATCTAGGAAATGTTGCTGTCGAGAGGGATGTCTGGGTTAACTTGGTTAGCCTGTTGCCACAATGACACAGCCCTGAGATAAGCTTAATCAACTGGAATATGGCATGGAGATCTGTAGTGATAGTTTTAAAAACATTTTATAGGAATGGACCATTACTTGTTGCTCAACATTGATAGGCACATGTAGCGGCCATCACTTCCCAATTCTACACTGTGGTTGTCCAGAGCCCAAAAGGTACAGATTCCCATGTA